CCTTAGACAAGATGTCCGTCACCTGGTTTGCTTCTCGAAAACAATGACCCACAGTCCAATCCGAACCCAACATTGACTAGATTGCCTCTACATCAAAGCGAATCAGCCATGGACATCTCGACTTGCCAGGGAGAACATTTACTAATAGTAGAGAGTCCACCTCCACCTGTACCCTGGAGACACCCCGTAACAGGCACTGCTGCACCCCATATAGCAACGACTTGGTTTCAGCTTGCAAACTTGTCATCTATCCGAGGGGAATGGAAAAACCAAATAGCAAATCACCAGAGGAGTCCTGAAGGACACCACCCCCTCCACTAGGCCCTGGGTTACCTAATGAACATCTATCCGTATTTAACTTGCAGATCCCCTGAAACGGCAGTTCCCAATAGACCACCCTATGGGAGTATCGAGGCCTCCATCCATACATCCTAGAGTAAAAAGCATGCCAGGAAACAAACCCATCCGTGGAATGTTGGTAACATCACTTTGTTTCCTAAAAGGCTTGTTGGTAACCTACCAGCTGAAATAAGGACTTCAAGCTAATAGCCATCACCATTCTTGACAATGATAATTAATGGGTATAAATGAAGATATTAAACATAAATCATGTTTAAAGATGTATCATACCACAGAAACAATCTTGCATTCTTAGAAGTTATCAGGCTTCCCATTTTCACAATCTCTAAATAGTATGAAGTAGAACAGCAAAGAGGCAAGCCCTGAATTAACAATTCAATTGCTCAGAAACTACATTTGCAGCACCTATGATAACTTAAAACTGAAAATAACCCAACCTTTAGGAGGAATAGCACTTCATCATTCTTGAAAGATCTCAGATTAGAAAAACTGCACTTAAAGAGGTGTCCTGGGCTAGCAACGCAGGGGAAAGTGTTCAGAAGAAAGGGCTGTGATGCTTCCCGAAGGAGAGTAAATCTTGTTTACAAACCCAGTTGAAGGAGATTCATAAGTATGAGCATCTTGCAATTCTGCCATTATCCTCCATACGTCTCCAGCTCCATGATAAGGACCTGCAACAAGAACAAACATTGTTCCAGGAAGTAAAATGACATTATATCAGAAAAAAAGGAAGAGTGAACGGAAATAATTGTAAGCAATCAACTAAAGAACGTTGTCCTCATTGAGAAATATCAACGAACAACTATGTTGCATAGTCCCTCAAATTGGGATGTTACAATAACAAAAAAAACGAAAAGAAATTTGAATTGCATTGAACATCAAAACAATCTAGATTAAGCTAGCTGATGAACAGTGAACTGAACAACAACAATCCGATTACTCAAAAAGGGTTCAAATTTTGCTAAAATTAGTATACTTGTGTAGTCAATTCACATATGAATTGCACGAACCAATACAAACTTATTTAAAAAAAAACCTAGAAATATAAATCACAACCTAGCTTAAATATACACTGAAATTCGCTACATACATGCGAAAATTAATCACAGTCAAAGAAGTGATTTTTCCCACCAAGTAGATTACATAGGGATAAATTGAAGAAGACTAAAAAAGAAAAAGCCTGAAACATCCATAGATTGCACATCATTTCTTATAAATTCTAAATTATAGATAGAATATGAAAAAAAAGGTAAAATATGTTTTGAGGGACAAGGAATCCTCTGCCACCAGCAACAACTTAATTTCAACAGAATCTAAAACTACCATCTTATTAAATTGTTTCATGAGTCACCATCTAATTAGCTGCAAAATACTTTAGGGAATAGTAGAAACTAATTGTCATAAACATTAACTTACATCTCTAAGTAGCATAATGTTGTTAGTGAAGCCAATACAGTAAAAAAATATGAATTCTCAGACACAAATGCAAACATGAAAATAAAAAAGAGAAAATAATAAAAGTAAACAAAAGAAATCAAGATCAAACCAGCTGTAAAAGTGACTGTATTTCTTTTTTCTTTACCCAAAGCCTCTAGCCACTCAGGCTATAGATGATTCACCGCCATGAACATCAAGCCTCAAACCTCACCACTATATATTTTACCCTATTAAAATCACCCATCATGGATGCTTTAATTTGCACTACGAAGAGAGGTAATTCAAAGATATCCGACGCTTTAATGTCCACCTCAGATGTAATTTGGGGATGGTAAGTAGATGGCAAACCAATTTCTAAGTTAAATCCCAAATTAAGAATCAAAATCCTAAATTAAATTTCACTGCACGTTTTTATGAAAGAGATAGAAATTGATTGAGATTTGGGAGAACATCTGGGAAGGCAACACAACTAAAGACGGAGAATCAGTGGGGAGAAGAAAAGGGAAATGGGGGCAAACCTCGATAAGCTTTCTCCGTCAGCCGATTGCTGTAGTAGAGAGGAGTGAGAAGTGGGAGGGGAGAGGACAAAGGAAGGTGGCAATTTTGGACAGAGGAATTGTAGCATCCTCCATTGCAGTATACTTTTCACACCGGCATCGATCTATCCACATATATCTCCTCAAAAGACACATATTTTTGCTTGACTGGCATTATACATAAACCAGAATCGAGAATTGCATCATGTTATCAATCATCCATCCTATTATTTAACAAAGGATACACTGATTGGGATGCAAAGTTCACTACCATTAAACAGGCGTACAGACTTAACTCAACCAGCAACAAGAGAGAATAACTTTTCAGAAGGAAGCAATGCAAAACAGGAGAACGGAAAGTATACCTATTTCTCACAATCCCAGCACTATTATACGAGGATGCAACTTTGATTCAGCCTACAATAACAGAAAGTTACCTTCCAACAGCAGCAACAAAAAGTAGTCAGACAAAACAAAGTCCAAGTATTCCACAGCCACACCACGCACCTGCACAATTAAGAGCAAGATCATAACCCAATTAAAACAGACATTATAAAGGCGAAATAAAAACTCTAATCAATATGCATACAACTACTGAAGCCACAATATATTAAAAACACACAACCACAACTAAGCCACCACCGTTGAACCAGAAGAAATCAAAATCAACACAACAAGCAAAAGCAGAACAAATAGAAACCAAAAATTTAAGGAGTCAATTCATTGCAATCCAACCTCCCAGGGAACCATAAAAAAAACCAATAAATAAGGTTGCTCTACGTCCACGCATTGGAAACAAACTCAGTTCAATTCAACCTGAGAAACGCAAGTGCAAAAGCTAAATGGACTCCTATGGCGAAATGGAGGATCGGTCTGAAGTGAAAGAAAGAAAACCAGGAGAAACTCCTGGGACCTTAATGGGTGCCAAGATGGCAGAACTACAAAAACGGAAGGAGAAACTCACGAAGGCTAAGGATGAGGCGGTACAATCGTGGTCAGATTCCAGACCTGTGATTGATGAGCTTGAAAAGCTGCAGTCGGAACTTGCAGATGCACAGAGTCGAACAGCCTCATCCAACGTTACTATTTCAGAGCTTGACTCTCAGCTTGAAAGGTTGAGTATCTCTATCAGGGCTAAGAAGGAGGAAGAACTGAAGATCCGAACAATGATTAACAGGATAAATCAGGTCTTGCAACAGACGCGGGAAGAGATGGAGGAGTTCAAGATGGAAAGAGATGAAAAACACAGAACAGGATTGAAACTAAAGCAAGTTCTACGTCTAAGGTGGCAGACTCTTCGCACTTTGCAACTCACCCTCAGAGCAATACGATTAGAATCAGAAGCTTATGCTACATCAGCTCATGAAGCACAACGCTACATCAGCCTTTTCCAGACAGATGACACTATGGTCAAGCTTACTCAAGAAGAGTACCATGCAATAACAAAAAGAACAAGAGACGAAACTTCATTGGCACAATGGCGAATTGCAGTCTCTATGGAACAAAAGCAGGCAGCCGAGGAAAGCCAAGAGACAGCTGCTAGAAGATTGCAGAACTTGTATTCAAAGAATGGATCAGGGAAAAGGAAACATCCCGCTAATGGGGTCTTAAAAGTTTAAAGAGCAATTTTCTACAATTAATGGCAATATAATTTGTAATCGTATTTGTGAGGGGAAAATTTGAAGTTTGTGCTTTTGTTGTATTATAAATTTAATCACAACTTCTAACCAAATTTATTTTAACAACACAAATAAAAAATCGTACTTGGTTAAATATTGAATTCCGCTATATAAGATTTCTGTAATACTAACAATAGTTGTTCTTGTAATGACAACTAACAATGGAATATATTATTTTGTTCGCTAAATAATATTAGCTGATTATATACGTGCATAGCACATGATTTTTTCTAGTAATTTGAAGTGTTCTAGAGATACCATTAGGAATAAAGTTTACGAAATGTGGCATGAGCAGGTGAGCTTTGTCCGATCTTTTAGGTTGGTATAGTTCTTATTATTGGTAAACCCTATTAATTCTTTTTAAACAAACTTACTGCTTCATTAGATAAAAACTACGATACATTTGGCAAATTCTACTAGTTTCCAGGCAAATTCTACTAGTTTCCCATTTAAATGAGATTCACAATCTGGAAAATCATTTTTATTTTTTTTATAATCTCCCCGCAATTTACAATGAGTTCAGAGTGCTACTTTTAGTCAATTTAGAAGAATTTCCATAAAGTCATAAAATATCACATAAGCATTTTCAGAAGTAATGTAACATTCTTTTTAAAACGGCATTGTGTGTCACTTGTCACCCGTTGCGATGTTCCAATGTCATTAGATGCATTTCCGAGGCCTCGCTTACATAGTTAAATTAAGTTATGTTTCTTTTTCTCAAGCCCTAATCAACAATACAAAGCAAACAATTTAGTAGAGGGAAATGAAAAGAACTCTGAAACACATAATGTAGTCATAATCGGCGTTTTGCAACGCCTTTTTTTCTTTTTTCAATTTTTTTCTTTTTTTGGGTTTTTGTTTTGACTTTGATGTACCCCGAGCTCTTACAAATGGATAAAAAGGAAAGAGAGAAAATTACTACTAATAATTATAGACTGAACGGACACCATTTTGTTTTTGTTTTTCCCTTTTTTTTCAATTTTTTTTCTTTTACTGTGGTACAAAACGACTGAAGGATGATGGTAAAGAGTGCATCCACCCTAATTAGGGCGAATTTCAATGCCCTTGATAATAATGCCAGACTTCCAGATTGTATCACTGGTTTGAAAAATCCTAGCTTCTGCCGTGGAACTTCTTCCGCGGTTGTTGACGAAGTCACCCAAGTTCAATTCCTTCCATCCATCACTACGGGGTTGAGGATATATGCCCGGATCCTTCGAATCTTGTGACTTGTCAATGAACACACTATAGCCTTCGTCATCAGTTCCCTTAGCCTTTTCTTCAGTAAACATAACCGATGCAGTTGCTTTTTCAAGTCCCTTTGGCTTGGCATTAAGTTTGAACACGAGATATGTCGAATAGGAACTGCCCCTTGGGAGGTCCCTAGCAGGCACACTGGTTCGAATGTCAAACCAGCAAACTTCAACAAGCTCGGCAACCTCGAAGCTGTACAAAGGCATTAGAATCAGTTTAGGATAATCTTCGAAAGTCATCAACTAACTAAAGGGAGAAAGTGAGATAATAATATAAATGCAATAGGACTATATACAGGACGGGTATGTGTGAAGTAAGTTCAGGAGGTTTACCCAGAAGGTACATCAGTGTACCACTTCCAATAGCGTGTATCATTACCGTGATAAATCACTAGATCCCTCGCGTTGATGGTGTAAGCCTGTGATGGAAAATTGAGCATCGACAAGTTAATTAATCTTTAAAGTCAAAATAACAAAAGACTGATGAGTAGTTCTCGCATTGATACAAACTAATAACGACTGTTATAGCTAGTTATATACCATGTTGAATAGATGCAGCTCTGGAGTAGTGTTGGAAGGACTGTACGTTTTGTGGAATGAGGGATTGAAGATTGCGGGAATGGATATTTATAGGCCTATCTGATTAACTGACGTTTGCAGATATTTCCAATCTTACCTCATCAGAGATGTGTAAAAACGTGTTTCGTGCTGGTGTGAAGGTCAGATGCTGATGTGAATGAGGGTGGCCTTTCACAAAACCACAAATATGAGTATATGACCAAGTACTAAGCTATACGCTCCGCCACTTGAAAGTGTATCCAACCAACCTTAGTGTCAACTGTCATATATCTTTAGCATAGTCAGCTGTATCAATATACACTATTCTTTTCCTAATGAATTCACCTTTCTCTTTGTAGCGCTGAATACATTTGGCTAATTCTCGTTTTGATATTTCACCTGATTATAAATTATGATTTTAAATAATGTGTTTTTCTTGTGTTCTAGTTTTCTTTTTTGTCTAGATCTTGGATTTTCACAATTGGAAAAAGCTACGATCTTGAATCTACCAAAGATCAAACAGCTCTATCCGAATCCAATTATTCTCTGCCATCTCTTTCTACGGGCAATTTTTGTAAAAACCATAGCGAATGCTTATGGGAAAGTCTTCTTTGCATGTCTAAAGATTAGATGATAAAATGAAAATGGTAGAGCTGGTAAATGGCACAATTGGCAATGTAAAAGAAGGATAGAGCTTGCATCGTAGGAAAAACATGGGATTTGTACCATGGAAACTATAACAGTTCGATTTTTTTTCTCCCACAGTTGTTCAAAAAATTTAGCATAATTTGTATGATTGAAGAAAACAAAAGATTTAAAGAGGCAAACAAAGAAAAGGATTGAAGATTGCCAAGGAAAAGGAATTATTTGAAGAGTCTTAACGATACCATTAAGGATAAATTTAAGGTTACCGAGCAGGTGTAATCGTGTTTTGTCCAATTTTATTTGTACGGTATAAATCATACAAAATTTAATGTAAACTTACATGACTTTCGTGTAGTTATTGGTGCCGTTGATGTATGTAGATTAGCTCTATAGCACATACATGAAATCTTGTAATAAATATACAAAATAGAGTCTTATAACAAATATACAAAATCTTGTAAGAATTACGCTAACGGGATAAAATTGAATAAAGCTTAACTATACTTGTACCCTTGCAAAATTTTTATGTTGTGTGAACGCACTTGGTTGGTTTGACCTGCTGGCAAATACCTAAATGAACTCTTGTCGACGAAAAACCTTTCCAACACCTCTAGTTGTTACTAGATACTACACTATGACCATCACTTGTGGAAAAGTTGGGAGGGAATTTTTTTTTTTTTTTTTGGTCAAGGTCAAGAATTAACAAAAGGCCTTTATGGGATAGAAGAATCATTTTACGTCCAAAACGGGACACATAAAAGTCTATCAAGACCAAGACTTATAAAAAAGACGTACACTATACTGTACACTTACAATACATATTTCAAAAATAAATTAATTAGTTAAATACTTGCTAAATCAAGCAATTTTGTCAAGACCAACATTGTAAACAGCTGTAGACTAGTAGTAATATGAACATCAAACTTAAAAGTTTTGAAATTTCACAAGATGCGACAAGTGAAAATTGTGCAAAGTGACATGAAAGCAAGATTCTAGATCAAAATAGTTGTTACTTAATTTGAATTCGCAGATTCATTCATCCAAAAAAAAAATTTCACAGATTCAAATAGAAAATCTGAATGATAAAAAGACAATAACATAAATTAGCCAAAATCACTTGTGCAAATCTCACTGTTCATTCAAAAAAACTTACTATTATATTTGCGAAGTTCACCTTGTCTTTCCTAGTTGTTACCACTTATTTGGCAAATCATATTCATTTTCCGAACAAACTTTCTACTTCATTAGCTAAGCACTGCAATTCAGTTTGGTAAACCCTACTACTTTTCCAACAAATGAGATTCAAAATTTGGAAACTAAATTTTATTTTTTTATCATCTCCAAACAATTTAGTATTAGTTCATACAAATTTTGGTCAATTTCGAAGAATTGTCATAACTTGATAGAAAATCAAACAAGTAATTCTAAGATGTAATATTACAATTTCTTTTAAAATAGGATTATATATCATTTGGTAGTCACCGTGATCTCCCGTTGACATTCGATGCATTTTTACGGCCTTTCTTAGGCATTGAAATTAAGTGGGGTTGGCACCTAAAATCTAAAAGAGCCTAGTCAACAAGGTTGAAAACAAACAGTTCATTACAATGAGAATAAAAAACTCCAAACCACACAACGAGCAGATGTTGCTTTGGAGTTTTGGAGGGACTATTTCGTTGAAAGAGGATTGAAGATCGAGGAAATGGGTAATTAAGTGGCCTTTGAGGATATTTCCACAGTGCCCTCATCATGGACATGCAAAAACGTGTTCCACGTTGGTCCTTCTCACTCTTTTACCCGTATTAAGATAAACGTAAGCCTTGGAAAAATTCACACCGTTGTTGCAATGACATTAGGTACCAGCCATAGTAGTAGCTCCGACAATGACATTAGGCAACATTAATTGCTCAATATGCGTGAATGCAATGTTAAGTTAAAACTTAGGGGTCCGTTTGGATTAGCTGTTTTTGGGGTTGTTTTTCAAAAACAACACTGTAGCATTTCGTTTCAAAAACAACACTGTAGATTTTAGTTATGACTACACTGAACTGCAAAACCATTATCAGGTCACAGCGTTGCCACTCCAATTATACCCAAAAGATCATCACGGTAACTTGCAATCAAACACACCAATCGCGGAATATTTTGGACCATAATGCACACTTCTAGATCCAAAACATTGATAGATTACAAGTATGATAAGCTTATTTGTTACCTACACATGCGACTATTACTAGGAGAATAAGAAATTCCAAAGGCCCATTGATCAAGGAAGTTCGTGTACATATATCGCCATGAATCTTGTGGAATGACATATTTCCAGTATACACAACACATCCGACTAGTTAGTTGAATATATCAAATATTAATTAAATAGCATGATTTAGTTAATGAAATATTAATCATAACACAAAATTCATGGACTAATGGCAGTCAATTAACTAACGATGTATACTTCATGCATGATGGATTATTTCTTGTTTAAACAATAGTAGATTGGTGCGACAGGAACTCCATCTAACAAAATCAGGCTAAAAGATAAGAAAATAGGAAGGATAGTAAGATTGATAGATATAGATTAATAAAGCCAGGGAATATTTTTTTTACTAGGAAAAGCTCTAACATTAATGGCTACGCATATATCTTTTACATGATTAATACATCTCTTTATCAACTTTCCCCAACTAATCTGATAGAGTAAAAAAATAAAAAAAGGAAAAACACATGTTCCAAATCAATTTTCCATCCAGCTGGATGGCCAGAAAGTGGAAAGTTCGTTGAGGGAAAAATCAAGGTTGAACTTTATATAAATTTGGCATCAAATTATCATCCTAATTTGACATATATATTCACAGTTGTAAAGCTAAAAGAATTTCAACCGAGAAGCAGTAAAAATTAAAAACACATAGATAATAACAATATAAAACCAAAAAAAGATTTAAATTTAAATGCCACAAGAAGGAAAAAGAAATCTAAATTAACTAGCACTAAGGCAAAAAAAATGCCGATAAAAACCTCCAAAAAGGAAAAAAAAATTGTTGAACCAACCAAAGTCCCAAATTTGGTAAAACAAAAATGAGTTCTCTACCACCTTACCCACATGTTGATTCGAGATTAGATTGCAGGTTGTGGACTTGTAAGGCTCCGGAGTTTTAGATTTGGAGCTTGAAGCATGAAAAAGAATATGAAGGTCCTAAAGGAAGAGATGGGAGTAAGGGTGTGTCACACCCTATTTTTTGAAAATAAAAGAGAAAGGTGTTAGAAAAATGAGTTTTTGATTTTAGAAAATAAAGAAAAAGGGCCTAAAATGGGATTTTAAATAATGCGATGGTTTGGGCCCAAAATATTAGTCTAAAAAGAGTTTTAAAAAGAAAGTCGCTACTTGGTATTGAGTTTAGATATACCAAGGCAAAAAATTGATTGACTCAAATTTAAGGCGCCCTTTTAACCTAGTCGAGACTAGTTGCGAGATTTAGTCAAAAATTTTCCTAATTCTAACCTATAAAACTTATTACATTTGGATGTTTATATATGGATGTAAACCTAGATCTAAGGGGTATCGAGAGGGATGAGATGTCTCTTCAAAGTTTAACTGGTATAAATTACATTAATTGTGAAGCCCAAAAATGATCCCTTGAAGAGGTCACGGATATGCAAAAGATAAGACTCAAGAAAGAAATTATGATATAAATATACAAGACCTAGAAGAGGGGAATGCAACATAACGGGTACGAGAGACTAAGATTCGTGACGCAATTTTCCTTCTTTCAAAGGGGTAATAGTGTGCTAAGACTAAAAAAAGCCATATTCACCTATTTCCCATATTCGAAAGAAGACTCTTGACGGGCTCTAAACATAAGTGCAAGTTTAATCCAAAATACACCCGTTTGACTGCAAGTATACAAGTCAACTACTAGTTTAAGATACATATCGAGTCGATCCCATGAGAAGCAACTTTACAAGTACTAAGGTTCTTTACTTGCTCTACTATTTAGACTAACTATCGATAAAACAATGAAAATATCAATACTAACTATCTAACTAAATTAACTAGATAACTTGCAAGTAAATAATGGAGAAATTTCACTAAATACTTGAGTTTAGGGAAATAGACTCCACTTATGGCATAAAAGATACAAGTAAATAGCTTTACCTCTTATTACTATTCTTGTTTAACAGGGATTCAATTCCATATATAGCAAAACTCATTCTTATGATGAAATGGCCTAAAATAGTCTAGTTTTCCCTATTCTCATGGTGAATAACTAAATCTACTTTTGTATTCTTCATGAAATGCAAGTATAATCCACTTAAATGTACTTCTACTCTCATGAGTCTACTCCTTAAGCTCCATTTATGTTGGTCCATCAGTATTACCTACTTTCATTG